CATAACACAATGATAGAGTAAAGAACAATTTTAAAGCTTTTGTGCTTCGTTCGGGCGTTGGGAGACTGATCCACTTCCGGTTGGGCTATGCACGCACTTTTGCCAGGGCGGCTTAACACATTGGGAGAGTTTCTGGATGTCGAGCCCTTTTCTTTGCAGGCTGCTTTGTTTTTTTCGGTTTAGGCTGGAAGCTGTCCACGAAATGCCCCCACTCCCAGAACCACAGCGACCCCTACCTGCAAATTCACACCATATCATATTATAGCGGCACAGGCCCAAGGAAACTCATTATTCCGCGGATATACACTCCCCGTTTCCTTTGGCGCCGGGAACCGGGTCCATCGCTTTTCACGAGTTCCCCCAAGAACCACAGGCAGCCCGGAGGCGCGCCCCACCCGCCGCGATCGCCCGGGGCTTGGGGGCAGCTTAGAGCTGCAGACTCTCTCGTTCGCGCTCGCTCTTTGTTCTCTCTCTCTCTCTCTCTCTCTCTCTCCCTTCCTCCCTCCTCTCTGTCGGCATGCCTGTCCGTCCGTCCGCTTGTGTGCACGTATGTGTGCATGTCTGAATGCATGTCTGTATGTATGCATATATTCATGCGTGCATGCATGTATGCATGCCATGTATGTGACAGCAACGCAGTTTTAAGATCTTGAGACGTCTTACACACACACACATATATATATATATGCATGTTCGAATTCATCTACACGCACATGTGTATGTACATATAAATATGCACACCAGCAAGAAGCTATGTTATACCAGCTTTTGTACATATATTTTTGATTGAAGCTGCATCACTTGGCTCTCCAGTGTGGTGCTGTGGTGGTGGAATATGCTTTCCTTTCTCGAGGGATCGTGGGAGAAGGGGGAATGGTTGCTTCAAGACGCTATTCGAACATCTGGTACGTCCAGTCTTAGTCCCATTCGCTACGGTTAACGTTGACCTTATGTACCATTGCCACCACAATTTACTACCAGTGGCTTGGCAGGTACACTTGATGTATTCGCATTGTTCTTCTACCTCGTCTTCTTCGGGTCGCAACTGTAAGGCCTTTATCCGATTATCTAAAGAATGCACTATTCTGCGTGACTACTGGCCGTGATGCGTCAGTATAGCACTCTGTCATAGACAGGGGCTGGAACTCGGAAGCATCCAATCAAATTCGAGACCAGGGCTTCAAGACCTGTGGCCAACTGTCCTAAGGCCCTGCGCCCTATACCTCGAAATCTCGAACTCTAACGCCGATGATATCCTGAACAGTTTCGGTAAGCCTTAAGATGCAGTCTGCACGTTTTCATTCGACAATTGCCGGTGCCAGAGCCTACAGCCTGAGCCGCCTCGGTCCTATCTGTTTATGTGTATGTCGAATGTGAAATGGACCCCCAAACAGAGACTAGGAACCTTGTGGGATGCTGATTACAATCGTGTCTGAAATTCCGACATTTTCCAGTGACTAAAATGGCTCTAGGAATTCGCCTATCCCTGTAGGGTGTGTGTGGAGTTTAGGGATGCGCTGCTCGGAGAACGCTGGTCGGGGAAGACCCCATAGCCTGTTTCAAAAACACCCTACAAACCCATATTGTTATAATTATTATAAATATATATAATATAGTATACCATGTTATAACTTCTAATGTTTGACATGTAATATATATTCTATAATATTTAGTATTTATTTGATAGAATATAATATTTGTTTTTAGTATATAATATATAACATATAATATAATATACAATATCTAATATATAACAGTAATGGTGATGTGAGCAAGGCAGTGAGGAGGAGCGGCGACGCACCTTGGCGAGACTGATTTAGAATGGAACACCAGAGCCCCTGCTTTTTCTGAAAAAATCTCCGGGATTCAGGGTTTAGGCTTCAGGGTTTAATGTTTTATCGGGGGTTCTCCGTGGGTTTGGGGTCCGGCGGATGCAGGGTTTAGGCCGCAGAAGGCTTCTTGAAGCTTTGGGGGGTTGCAGGGCTCAGGGTGTCACCTGGGCAGTTTCGAGCTTCAAGGTTCGGCGTTCTTGGCTTTAGGGGTGCGGGGCTGTTAAACCCAGTGTCTCCGAACTAAACTCGCTCTCTGATACATGAGTCCGAAACCCCAAAAGCTTGCGGCCCCAAGTCCCCCGAAGGACCTACGAAGCACGGCAAGTCTTTGAGGCAGCAAGTTGTTCTCCCAAGCAGCACCTTCAACTCCGAAACCTCTCAAAGTCGTCACCCTAAGTCCTCAGCCCTAAAGCCCTAAAAGTCGCAAACTCCTAAATAAACCTAAAGTCCCTCAGTCATCGCTTCTGCTCCCGTGGCGGCAGGGCCGGAGAAACGGCGAGAGCGCGATCGCCTCAGCTCTGGGCAGATGGCTCGTGGTATTTCCGCGAGGGGTTTTAGCGGAGTTTGGAGTGTCGGATTTTGGGCGTTGGGTTGTTTTTTACGGGGTTCTTGTGGTGGGTTTCGGGGAGCTTAGAAGTTGGGATTTTGTGCTGCAGGGCTTGAAGATGTGACCGGATGGCCAGGGTCTGCGGTAGCTTTGCACTCGGAATACAATTTTGTAGAATGTCGTCGTTTAACCGATAGCTCTACTGCACTGCAAGTCCCATACCAAAAGCCTGACAGACGTTCTGTATGATGTTTCTGTTTTGGAAATGGCCTCAACTCAATTCGAACTGTCGGCCACTTTGCAGCCCGGTAAGAAGCGGGCTAAACCCAAAAGCCTTCAGGGAAGGAGAACCTTAGATGAAAGCCTCAAGGCCTCGAAGCTCAAAGCCCTAGACTCCTAGACTCAACAGTTTTGCAGCGAACGTGTTTTCCATTTTGCTGTGATGGCTCGAGGGCGACTCTAGTCTAAGAGATGAGTATTAAGCTCTGGTAGTACCGGGCCTACGTACTGCGATATGAAAGCAGGGTTAGGACCCTACACCCTCAACCCTGCGTGAGAAATCTCCGACGAAAGGGGGGGTCGGAAGAGTGCTTTCGCAGCCGCTATGACCCTGAGGGCTCTCTCTCCAAGCTTGATCGACACCACCCTGAACCCTATCAACCCTGTATTGAGCCCGATGTCAAATTAAGTTATCAATAACACGGAGACCTTAACTCTTGGCTATGGATCTCCGTGGTAGCTTAAATTAAGTCCCTTAGCAAGACCCCGGTGTAAGCCCTCTGAGCCGCCCGAAACCCAAAAAACCCCGTGGCATCGGAGTCAGATGTCTCCCAGGTCCCTGGACCATCCCAAGCAAGGCTTCGGGCTTTAGGATGCCTCGGGCTTGAAGCTAAGGTAGGGGGTTTTATAAATTACCTCTATTTTTTTTTGGAGGGGGGGTTCCTTATTATAGTTATAGTATAATATACCCCCAAAACCTTTTCTAATTATTATGGCCCCTATATTACCATCTAATCTAAGGTTTTGGTGTCGGGGGTCCGAAACTGGCAACCCTTCGCCAGTCACCAACGCCTACGTCTAGGTTCAGTGGACTTGGTGAGCAGAGGCATAAGTACCTTAAGGGCCATATGTCGACGGTGTTTATGGTTCTCTTGCCTCTAGCCCTAAACCCTAAACCTAAACCTTCAAAGAAGCGAATCAATCAATCAATCAATCAACCAACCAACCAATCAATCAATCAATCAATCAATCAATCTCTCTCTCTCTCTGTCTCTCTCACACACTAAATGCTTAAGGCGAGCCATCTTCTTCGGGTGACGAGGCTCGCCGAGCTCGCCCGGCGACTCAGACAATGGGCTTATGAAGTATTGAGGGGTTTGGGGTTTAAGGCCTTCTAAGGGTTTGACGGTCGAGGGTTTAGGGTCTAGGGTTAAGGGATGTTTAAGTGTTAGGGTTTAGTATGGAGGAGGCAAGGATCTAGGAGATTTATGAGGCTTGCTACAAGGCTTACTACAAGGGTTACTCCTGAACTATACTTCAGGATCTTAAGGTTCAGGTGTTGGGATTTGCTGCGTTCTATGTTAGGGGTTTCGGTCAGAACGAACTCGGTTTGAGGTTTTGGTCTTGGGTTCTGCAGGGTTCTAGAGCATCCCATCAAACCCCTAAGCCCTAAACCCTAAACGGTGGCTTTAGGACCTGGGGGGTTCAGGAAATGTTGGTTGCAGACGTTGTCTCAGGGTTTAGCGGGATTGGTATCAAAGGTACTTCTAGAGAGAAGAGAACCAAGTCGTGAGTCGTAACCCTACATTCACAGAATTTCGGCACCTTTTGATGTTCATAAAGATGTTTCGAGGTGTCTGTCGCATGGGGCTCCGAGTTTGAGCTTTCTGTCAGAATTTTCGAGCTCAGGGTTCAGTTGCCCCGAAAGCGAAGCCGAGTCGTAAGCCACGGCCGCAAGACCCCAGGGCCGATGCTCTGAATACTAAACTCGAACGAGGAAGATTGATCAGATCCTGAACTCAAACATGCACACACAGAGACTGAGACAAAGACACACACACTCACACACATAGGTTTGTCTCTTCTCTCTGTCTCAGAGACTTATCGACACTCACCCCAGCAAGCAGCTTTCTTGGGCAGGCGAGCGGAAGGTCAAACCTGCCGAGAAGGAGAAGGAGAAGGAGAAGGAGAAGGCACCCACCTGCCGAGGGGTTTCCACCTGGATACTGTAGCCACTGTAGCAGCAACGGAGGTCGGGAACAATCAGTCAGAGTCCCCAAATTTATCAGAATGATCCCCAACCTCCAGGACCCCTTAGTTTAAGGAGCAAGGCCCCCTAACATCCTTGAGCCACCAGCCCAACCGGAGTGGTGCGAGGAGCCTCGCGCGTTGGGCATTATGGGCGGATAAAGATTCAGATTGGCGGCACTCACCCAGCTCGACCCGGTTTCAAAAACACTGCCTAAACAATCATCGTAAACACTCCCGAAGCCCCAAAACCCAAAGCTCTAAGCCTCTGATTCCGAAATCCTTAAACCCAAGCACATTGAAAACCGCAAGACGGAAGCTACTGAACCAAACTCCGACAGAAGGCCGTCCGGCCTCAGTCATCTCTGCATCAGGTTCCGGAGGAGAAGCCGAAGAAATCGAAAGCTCCAGAGGCCTGGCAGGGAGTTTGATTTCAGCTTTTAGGTTTAGGACTAGGAGCATGCTGAAAGGTGTAGGACTTTGCAGTTTTAGAGTTCAGTACTTTAGGGTTTAATTTTAAATGTTTGGGGCTTAGCAGTAGAGAAGTTTGTTCAGGGCCTGTTTCGGCTTTGGGCCCAATGCTTAGAGCACAAGCATGTCACGTGTCTTCTTTGTTGAGCTCAAGCCCAACCATCGCGAAACTCCGATTCCTAAATCTGTCAACAAAAATCTGTGCTTTTTTTCAAGCCCTGCAAACCCTCCAACCTCAAACTACCAAATTCCCGAAAATTCAGGACTTAACACCCTTAAAGCTCTGAAAACCCTTGAAATCATAGCCCTGGGAGGAAGAGCCACCCAAGAAGGTGGCGAAGGCACCTGGGTTTGGGATGCTGGCGTCTTTCCAAATGAAGCTTTGAGGTTTAATGAGAGTTCTGTGCGATTCTATGCGGACTTCTTTGAGGATTGTGCAAGTTTAGTTCTGGTGGGTTTTGGGGGGAGTTCAGGGGCAAAGGGCGTAAGACTTGCAAGGGTTTGGATTTCAGGGTGTCAGGGCGGCTGGACCACCTTCTGACCTTTCGGGCTTTAGGGTTAAAGGCAATCCTTCGTCGTGTTGTGCCCATCGTCGTACCAAGTTGAATTTGGCTCAGATCATGAGCTGCGGTGCAGCTGGACGCATGACTGACACCGATTCATCTGCACATGCTTCAAACCAGTTTGCTTCTGTGTTGAGTAGTTGTATTTTGCTGCTATGGATAATGATGATGATGATGATAACGATGATGATGATGATGATGATGATGATGTTGCAGACGATTGTGGTGATGGTGGTAGTCGTGATGATGAACACTTTGAAACCCCAAAGCCTAAACCCAAACCCCCTTAAACCCTAAAGCCCCAAGGCCTAAACCCTAACCCCCTTAAGCCCTAAAGCCCCAAAGCCTAAACCGTAACCCCCTTAAGCCCTAAGCCCTAAAGATTTAAACCCTAAACTTGCCCTCAACCTGCCAAAGAACCACCTCGCCACCGGAAGACCCAGAAAAAGCCGAAGAGGTGGCGGAGGAAAAGCCGAAGAAGCCCAAGACCACCGAGGCGCTCCCAGCGACCCCGGGGCTGGGGGGGAAGTTGATTCTAAGTAGACTTTCATTGGGTTTAGGGTTTAGGGTTCAGGGCTTTAGGGTTCAAGGGTTTAGGGTTTAGGGGGGCCGGGGTGAAATAGATTCTAAGTAGACTTTGATCAGGGACACAGAAGGTTTATAAGGGTTATAGAGCGGTTGACAAGGGTTCAGTGGTTTGTGAGAGTTTCTTAGGGTTATGCAAGGGTTTTCAAGGGTTTGCAGGGGTTATGGCAGTGGTATTGCAGGGAGCTGCCTGGGTGTCATGAGTTGTTGTGAAGAGTGTGTATGTTGGGTTCTGCACTGGATTGGAAAGCTTGTGTATGTGGATCTTTAAAACTTAAGATAAGAGAAGGATACTGTTATTGAGGTTCTCGACTGTAGGGCCCCGAACCGTCGGAGCCTAGCATATGAAAGTGTGTTTGACGCCGACACACCTGATAAGTGAAAGACATTATGCGGTTAGCATGCTTATCCAGGAATGATACATCCATCAACATGTTCAGACTGATAACACTCTCTGCAGTCTCGAGGGACAGCGAAACACAGCTTGCACAGACCATGCCGCTGTGCTCACCACCGGCCAGCATGCCAAAACTGATTACGGAAAAAGGGAGACAGAGAAGGAATCTGATCAGTCCTCATGCAGAGCAACAACAAAACCGACGGCAAAATACGACACCGGAAATGCAACAAAATCAATTTTCCGATACCCAGGTTGAGAGATGGAGTTCATGTAGTCCGGGAGTATGTCTTGCCCAATCCCGAATCCGAGGAATACTCAGAAAGGTGATTCGTATCCTATATGAGCAGCATGGACAATCATGAACACATAGAATTTCGATTGGTAACGGTAGGCTTGACCCCGGGTCTGCCACAACCTCAAGGAGGTGCCCTCAAGAATTCTGGTTCCCCTTTCCATCTTGGAAGATGTCCAGTACGATAGGTTCCCCCGCTTACCATGTACAGTGCCACACGAATTTATACAATTCATCACACAGCACCCCAACTTATCCCTACAACCACCCTTTCTACAACTAAGCCCCTAAACTTAATCCCACCCCCGAAACGCAGAAGCCAGGCAGAGGAGAAGCCGAAGAAGTCGAAGGCACCCGAGGCACCGTGGTTTCAGTCGTTTCCAGGCTTTGAGATACTTTTTGGTTGGCTCGGAATACTTCCATAAGAGCAGCATCTTACTTGCTAAGGCCCCTCTAGGCTACTTGCACACCCCGAAGCACCTGGAACTTGGAGAAGGCTGTAGAGTAGAAGCAGTAGGGAACTAGCGCTGGTGTTCTCAGCGACCCCCTTTTCCTAGGAACCCAAAAGAAGGCGGCACCAAGAGAAAAAAGGACACCAAAAGAGAGAACTATCATGAACTGTCCATGTACCCGAACGCCTTAAAAATAGAAAGCTACCCCATATACCCAAATGACCGAAAAGAGGAAGGTACCCATACATATCATGTATGGCTACACCCTAACCCTCCCTCCTTACGGGGTCCGCACAAATCCTAAACCCTAAACCCCCAACCCCAAACCCTAAACCCTGAGCCCTAAACCCTACACCCTAACCTTTAAGTACGGCCCCCGAAGGATCCTCCAAAGAAGGCGCCGAAGGCAGAAGTGCAGCTGATGCTTTGGGTTTTCGGTTTTAGGGTTCGGGGTTTGGAGTAGAGGGTTTAGGGCTATCGGGTTTAAGGTTACGGGTTGAGGGCTTAGGGTTTGGGAATTTAGCGTTCAAGGTTGTGGGTTCAGGGGTTTGGGTTTTGGGGTTTAGCGTTTAAGGTCTAGGGTTCCCGGGCCTGAATAAGTAGTGGACGTATCCACTCCACTCGGTCTGATAAGGGTTCTCTTTAGCCCGTATTTGTAAGTTTATACATCAAGCAAGCACCCCAAAATGTCGATACATACATCCGTACATCCAAGCATGTATTACTTACGCTTTCGCGCACACCAAACAAAGGCGGCAGCTTCCTTTTCATGCTGTTTGTCAAGGCCAGGTCGATCCTTCTAATTCACGGACACGGAAACCTCTGGCCTAAGACCCTGAAGCTCCCAAGCTTTAATCATAAGGCCCCCCCAAAAATCGCTGAAAGACTGCGACTCAAGCGTCTCTAATCTCCGCTCTTCGCAGCTCCGCTGAGAGGTGGCCGAGGAGCCAAAGAAACCCGAGAAGGCCCGCGAGCTCCGATCCACCAGCACCCAATTTAGGGTTTAGGGTCTCAGATCTAGGGCTCTCTAGTCCAGGGGTTTAGGATTTGCGGGTTTCGGAGACTTCAGAGTTTTAGGGTTTGGGTAGACATCTCCTTGTTCGAAAAACTCCACTTCCTGCACGACGTCTCTGAAGACTGAGATCCCCATCACAAGCCTCGTTAAGGGCAGTCTACATTTCACTTTTTCAGAGTGCCTTCTATACATGATTATCGGCATAGTAGTTATATGTTGGCATGGAGGATCGTGGGGGACTCTTGCTAGAGTTTAAGATTCGGGTTGCAGGGGTAGTTGCTTGTAAGTCATAGGGTTTGAGGTTCAGGGATTTGTGCCGAACTCGTACTATACTATGCGATACTATATACTATACCATATAAAATGCGATATACTATGAACTATATACTGTATACTATTTACTATGTATTTATTCTACATATGATACACTATACTATATGATCTTGAAAATAGCATGAACAACCATAGCTGTAAATTTTAGCAGCACCTACAATTACACATTATTGGGAAAGAAGGCCCTTTTGTTGGAGAGACTTCGCTTTAATTACCAGAAGTCGTGGCTGAGCTATGGGGCACTCTCCCCAATCAGGAGTCGACACTTCGGGGGTGGAGGTAGCGAAGCCAATAACAGGCCGGACCCTAAACCCTAAACCCTGGTGGCTGGAGGCGGGGCGGGGGTGGATAGAGGCTCTTAGACTGTAAAGCCCTACTTGTTGGTTGAGATCCTATGGTGAATAACTTGGGTATCCCGCAAAAGCAGCTGTTGTATGAAGAGGTCTGAACCCTGCGGAGAACACCGAAGCTGTAAAGGGCTTCATGAGATTTCGTCTTAGGAACCCCTGTGCCCCAGCACCCAGAGTGAGCTTGCACATTAGTTACGTGATGCAGGGATGAATACCCCACCCAATACCGAGAAGGCCAGCTACGCCTGCAGTAGGTTAGCATCCAAATATAACAGAAGCAGTTTAACAAAGATACTCGGGGTTATAACACAAGAGAACGATCCTGTTAACCCCCTTCTTACAACCTAAACCCTACACTCTGTAAGGTTTAGGGTATATACCTTATAAGCCCTAAGCCCTAAAGCCGCAGGCGCCGGCCACCAAAGCATCCACCAAGGCAGCCAGGGTCGGAGAGTCCACTCGGTCCCGGGTTCGGGCCTAGGCTTTTGGAAAATGGAAGCCTGAAGAATGTCCAAGAATATTCCTTGAGCATTCCTTGGGGTTCCTGAAACTGGCTATAGCAGGATTCATGCCCCAAAGACTTTATCTGGCGGTGAAGGCTGCTACATGACAGGGAGTTTGGGCGTTGTGGGCAGGTTAGATCCAGTCCTTGTGCCGTACCTCCTTTTTTAGATGCCGCCCGGCAAGCAAACTACGCATCCATCGCGGGGATCGCCCGAAACACAGCCGTAAAGCCTGAAGCCCTGAGGGTTCTGGACTGTTGGCAAGGGGTAGAATATTGTGTTGGTATTCGTGCCTCAACCATACAAAGTAAATCTTGAAGACTATACTAAGCCTTCAATATGCTATGCCCTGTGTTGCACCTCTAAGCCCTTCGGCTCTGAGATAAAGCCTGCGAGCTCAGGCTAGATCGCTAGTTCTGAGGGTTTAGAGGTTTAGGGTTTAGGGTTTGATCGAAAGCTGGATGGCTTGACTCACGGGAAGTCAATGGAATGAAAAGATTTTGTGGTGCAACTGTTCCTCCAGGTTGGCCTGAGAAGATTTATTGCCGAGTGCAGCAAAGCAGAATTTCAGGAGGGCCCGGGCAAAGCCTTAAGGTATACTGGGTTTTTTTTATCGTATATTATGGTGACTGTAGTATAGTATGGCCATTCTGGCATGTTATGGTTTCTGTAGTATAAATCCTGAAGGCCGAGAAGAATCCAGACCGAGCAGGGTGTCGAAGCCGCGAAGTCCTTGCAGAACCTCAGCGGTTCTGACTCCCTGGTTCTTCGTATGTATGGAATGGGGTTTAGGGTTTAGGGTTTAAGGTTTAGGGTTTAGGGTTTCAGGGTTTTAGGGTTTAGGGTTTAGAGTTTAAGGGGGAAAGGGTCCCTATGAAAGTCCCTGAAAGTGCCTTTGAGTACGTAGTCCCTCTGGCTCGTTCCACCTGTCCCCAAGCACCAGGGAATGACCCTAGATTAACATCCTTCAATCCGATTGCTCCAACGCGAGTTAGCTTCTACTATTTCTCAGCATTCCTCATTGTACTGTGATATTCAAAAGATGGACCAACACATGCCAAACCTCGTTATACACTGTAGTACTCATGCTGTAAAATATCCCAGAAACCTCTTCTAGCTATTCCAAGGCCCCATATAAGACCCTACAAACCCCAAGTTAAACGCAAGAGGCCGCCGAAGAGCCCAAGAAGGCCCCGAAGGCCAGCTCGGGGGAGAAGTTTGGCCTTTCGCCGGGTTTCGAGAGTGTTTTTTGTTTGAGGGGCTGCAGCTTTGGGCTTAGGGACCTTGGGAGTTTTCCGGGTTGCAGGGTTCGGGATTTTGGGGTTTAGGGGTTTAGGGGTTTTGGGGTTTAGGGCTTAGGGCCTGTGGTTTAGGGCTTCGGGTCCAAAGGACCCTATAGTTAGGTAGTTAGGTTAACTATAGGTACCCGGGTTTAGGGTAGGTTAGTACTTGGGAGAGCATATGATTGTTAAGTGCCCGGACCCCGTTGGCTAAGGGCATGAGGAACATGGGGAACATGGGGTTTACAGGGTTCAGGGCTTAGCGTGTAAGGTGCTATTGGGGCGTCGGGCCAGGGGTTAGAATAACAAGGTTTCGGGTTTGCATCGGTTTCAAGATCTATTGGGACTGGTGGATATCTACAAACCGGACCCTTATAGCTATACCAAGACCCTACCCTCAAAGGGTGCATGGACCCTCATCTGTTCGAGGGTTGGAGTCGCGGTTCGGACCCTCGGAGTTTTCGGTCGAAAGCCAGGGAACAGGCTCCAGCTCAGGGTGTTTATGGCTCAGGGTGCTTGTAGTTTGGGGCTCAGGGCTTCATATTACAGGGTCTAGGGGGTGTAGTACGATGTGACGCCTCGCAGGTTAGGGTTTGAGATTTGGTTCAGGGCTGGCTGCCGCATTCCAGCACCCTAAACCCAGGAGCCCTCACAAACCTGCCGCCTCTGGAAAAGGAGCTTCAACGACCATCAGGAACAGGAGCCCCGGAAGACCGCCGCGAGAAAACGCCCTAAACCCTATAGGCATATAAACCCTGAGCCCTAAAGCCCATAAACCCCAAAACCCTGAACCTGAAACCCAGAAGCCCTAAACCCTGAAACCTTAAACCCAGAAGCCCTAAACCCTAAACCCTAACCCCCAAACCCCATAACAACCCTAAAGGCCTAAAAAGTCTCCAACCGATTTCGAGAAATTCCTCTGAGACCGAGGCCGCCGAAGAGCCCAAGAAAAGCACCAAGGAGCCCTGGGCTGCAAACGTTTTTTTTTTGAGCTTCCTAGTTTGGGTTTTAGGGTTGTAGGGTGTTAGGGTATTTTAGGGTTTAGGGTTTTCGGGTTTTAGGGTGTTAGGGCTTTTGGGCTTAGGGGTTTAGGGGTCTAGGGTTGTTGGTTTAGGGGGGTTACGAGGAGCTTGGAGGTCTTGGGCCTTTTGGCTTTCCTCGCAGGCCTTTTTTGGGCCCATTTGGGGGCGCTGCAAAGCTCATGCAACCCCTAAAAAAGGCCCACGGTGAAGGTTGCCAGAAGCCCTGGATTCCGCTCCAGCCCTGCAGCTCTACACCTTTAAGCCTGCAACCCTCGTACCTTAACCTTAAACCCCAAAGCCCTAAACCCTAAACCCTAAAGCCTTAATTAGTCAACGCCCGTAAATACGAAGAACCTCAAGGCGAAGACCATAATCAAACCCTGCGCTCTCAGCCCGTTCACAGCCTCACGCCCCGAAGCCTGAAGGTTTAAGAACGGTAGGAGTCTGAACAGTTACGTATGGTACGACTTAACAGACGAATATCCCCTTATAGTCCTGAGCATCCATGCTATACCATACTATACCCCACAGCTGCCGTCTATTCGTTCATGCGTTAAAGGCACCGTTTTTTCCGGTCCCAGGCAGCCGAAGAGCCCAAGAAGACCTCTAAGGTCCAGGGACTCGGCTTTACATGGAGGGGCTCTGCCATTGGGAGTTTTAGGCTCTAGGGTGTAAGGTTTAGGCGTTGGAGATTTTCCGTTTAGGGGGGTCCTTTTAAAAGGTAGGTCTGTGGGTGGTTACTGCAGGGTCTTGAGGCCTAGGTTCTTTCATTTTGTGGGTTTGAGGGCTCGGAGGTAGGCTGAGAGTTTGGAGCTTCAGGGAAACCTCCTTCTCAGGCCTTTCTTTGCTGTGCTGCTTCTACAGCCTCTTGTTTAAGGGTCCAGGTGCCTAGTGATCCTAACGTCTGTGTACTCCCAAAATTCCAAGCTAGAGTTACTCCGGACCTGTCTTGGGAGGCTTCCATGCACCACGCGGACATCGGATTCTGGGTGTAGCCGTAGAGAGTCAGAGCCGTTCAACATCTTCGCTGCATCCCAAGCTTAACCACGGCCTGAGCCACATTTGGGACAAGAGACCATGCTATGAAACCGGGAATCCCGCAGGAAAATCGAACACAGCTGGCCCATCGTGGGGCAACCCCGAAACTCCATTGCAAAGCCTCCTCGAGCCTTCCCTTCCACATAGCTCAAGGTTCAGGGATGTTCAGGGCTCATGGTTCGGAGTTAGAACCATAAGCAACGAAATGCATCCAGATAGTCTCGGTTCACTCAGGCGCTAGCGCTCTGAAACCCACCCTGAAATGTACTCAAAAACTCGCGCAGGCCGCAGAAGAGCCCAAGAAGACATCCAAGGCCTTTCGAGTTTCTTCCTCTTTGGGTTTAGGGATTGGATTAATCTTTTTTTGGGGGAAGGGAGGCAAAGGGTTTCGGGTCTTACGTCCTAGCCGGTTAAGGATTGCCTCTATCTTCGTGCATCGGTCTCTCCGCCTCTCTCTCGCTCTCGCTGCCTTCAACGTGTATGTAGATATACGCATGCATGTAGACATGTCTCTGTATATCTGATATCTACTACTGTCATGTGTCTCTGCGGGCAACATTCTATTCAACTGAACTTCCCGGCCTTTCAAGGGGGTTTACCCTAAAACCTTCTGCCAAAATCCGAAACCCTCCGGGACGGCGACTCGCAGGTGGCGGAGGAGAAGCCCAAGAAGTCGAAGGCACCCGAGGACGCTGTGTGGAGAGATGGGGTCTCTTGCAAGTAGAGGTCATCTGTCAGGGCTTAGATTTTGAGGAGGTTTTTTCAACTCAACTCGTGTCAAGGGCTTTAACTGTCCTTTGTGGGGTTTACAGGCACTGCTTACACTTATATGCGGGTCCCTTAGTTTGGGGGTCCTGATGATAAGAATCTTCCGCCGCACTTCTGCTCGCAAAGTGGCAGGAGGAGCCGCCCAAGAAGACGACGAAGGCATCGAATGGGCTTCAGGATCTTGTGGTTTCGGGATTTGGGGTTTAGGGATGTTCTCAGTTGTTGAAGTTGCCCTAGGTCCGGATTTTCGGCGTTTCTGTTTTGGTCGGGAGTGGGCGAGTGTGGGGGCCGGCTCTGCGAGACGGAGACTGCTGGGCCCGCACAGGAAGGGGAGGGAAGGAGCTTCTTTGGGCAGCCAAAAAGTGTCTGCAGGCTCCGTATTCGAGGTGCTAGCATTCACGGAGAGGCTTAGAGGGCATGTTTATGATAGAGGTGAAAAAACAAACCCACCATGTGTGCTTTTCCATTCTTGAAATTGCCTTCGCTGAATTCTACTTTCCAGGGTTTCGTTCGATCGTGCAGTGTCCGTAAAGTTGGACACTCTTGTCTTCCTCAAGCCCCAAGAGGTGACTCTAGGGAACAACAGAAGGAGCAGAGTTCCTTGTGAAGCCACGCACTTCATGGAAGGTTTCCCGAGTAGAATCCCCCGCCCCAAGTCCCAAGTATAACTCTGCGCCGAAGCAACAACATCTTCCCGGGTTATACTGTTTCGGGTTTAGGGAGTTTAGGGTTTAGGCCTCGTTTCCGTCGGGTTGTAAGCCTCCCAAACCTGGAATCCTCATCACCCCAGAGTTGCTGAAGGCCTACGGCCACAAGAACCCCCCAAACCCCACAAACACCAAACACGCTGGACCTTTAAGCCTCATGAACCCCCAACACTATCTGAGGTCATTCCTGAGAGCGAGTTTAGGAGCTTTCGCAAGTAGACTGGAGTTTTCGTTTTTGTTAAAGAAAATTTCGGTGCACCTTCTTCTGTAATTATACTATACTATACTATACTATACTATACTATACTATACTACACTATACTATGCTATACTACAAAGTAATAAAGCTAAATTGTACTATAGTATCTCAGAAGGCCACAGAAGGCAAGCCGAAGAAATCCAAGGCACCAGAGGTGGCCGGCGGAGGGATCGGGAAGGGGTTGCTAGGGTTCAGGGCTTTTTGGGAACTTCGAGACTGGGGTTTGCCGTTCAGGGTGCAGGGTTCGGGTTTATTTACTTGAAGTTTAAGGTTTAGGGTTTAAGGGTTTAGGGTTAAGGGGTTTAGGGCTCTGGAGTTCCGGTGTTGGGGTTCAGGGTGTGCTGCCTGGCAGTCATGATTGATGATTACTTGGAAGTTCGCCGGTTCATAAGCAGACACCGCTCTAGTCAATAAGGGTTATGAATAACGTCATTGCAACAATCTGCTTACCTGAGCCCCCTGCTTGGGCAAAGGGTTGCGCAGTTGCATTGGCAGTTGCTGATTTTGGCGCCAGTTTGAACCCTCCTATTATGGCAGGATGACAAGAGTCATGTATTTTTTTTGCGTTTCGGGTGTTCCAGAAACTTGCATTGCTCGACCGGTCTTTCAACGCGCTTTATATTCTTCTTAAGTGGGTTCGGACGACCCAACATCCAAAAGCCGAAAATCCGACCCAAGTACCCCAGATGTTTTGAGCCCCAAAAGTCCAAGCCTGAAGGCCCAAAAGCCCAAACACTCGCCGCTTCAACCGATTTCGAGGTTGTGGTCTCTGGGGGTTTAGAGTTTGGTTAGGTCAACTCCACCCTCATCCCTGACCCCAAAAAGGCGGCCGACGACAAGCCGAAGAAGTCGAAAGCACCCGAGGCATACCTGGGATCACTGTTTTGAGTTGCCTTTGGGGCCTGGTGAAGTTAAGAACCATGTTCTGGCTTGTACCCTTCTGGTTGACTGACAGGTTCGAGCATAGGGTGTCGTGGTTCATAGTCTACCCCTGAATCCCAAACCCGAAGCCCTAAACCCTAAGCCGCCTAAGCAATTTAAGGCTTCTGGCGACATTAGGCTTTTCGGCTTTGGGGTTCAAAAACGGTCCTGAAGAGTTAGTAAAGTGCTGGCATCCCCCTATGGTCCGCTTTGTGTCATAAGTCATAAGCCCAAAACAATCTTGTCAAGGCCCCTTTATTGGGCCTTTCGATGCCCGACAGTAGGTGGTGTTCCGCGAGCGTAGGAATCTTTAAACTTTCTCTGGTTCAAGGTAAGGATAAGGGTACAGGGTAAGGATAAGGGTAGAGCCGGGGATTGTGGTTTAGAGGACCGTGAAGTAGTGTGCCAAGTGCGCAGCATGCAGAGCTGGACTGGCTGTGCACCCGTTGGTGTCTCACGAGGGCTGCTCCTATATCGCATTCTCTGTTGTCGGTGCCGTTTTTGTAAGAGACGCGTTCTCTGGTTTGCTGAACTCAGATTAACTTCCCACAACTTCGCGACGGTGTGCCTTGTGCCTGTGCCTTTTGCTTTCCACTGCTAAGTTGTCAGATTTCGTTGCGATTGTGCACGCATATATATATATATTTATTTATTCTCTGCGTTGGGGTCGTGTCCGACGCGCGCCTCGCATTGAATTCTGGTGAAACGAAGAAAATCAGGGCTGCAGAGCCAGGCCGTAGTCGTCGAAGACCGCTCCTATGGCTCTGAGCCAGTCCGCAGCTGGACCCAGACTTCTCGCTAGCCCTTGACAGATAACGCCACTTGGAGCTTCATGCTGATCAATGAAGCATTTTGCTACACATGCGCAGGCCTGCTCTAACCATGTGGCATATGCAGTTGCAGCACGAAGGGTGACGCTGGTGGGCCCGAAGGGCGAGAGTAGCACCTCAGGTGGTGCCTGGAGGGATAATGGTGGACCAGTGCCGGTGGTCCGGAAAGAACAAGGAGTCAACGGTGCCCAAGCAGGAGCAACATCAGACGGGCATGGCTGCTGAGCAGGCTTGGTAACACGGACTTCTCCAAGCAAATCGACATCAAGCAACAACAACATGTTGTTCGCAATCTCACGATCCTCCTCCGAATCAAGAGAACCCTGCCAAACCTTAACAGTGTTGCGAATAATGTCTAGAGGCTCTATATGCTCAACAATGATTTCCCATACAGACTCTTCGTTGGGCCTATGGAGTCCCTGCAAAATATCCAGCAAGGGCTGCGATATGTCGGTGATCAAGCTCAACCCACGATGCGGACGGCTACACCCCGCAATTCGCTCAGGCGGTGCTTGGGGGTGTGGTTCAACTGAGGGGCAAACATCGGCCTGAAAAGCGCCCCAGGCAGCCAAACACCTAGTGTTATTGCGCAGATGGCAACGGAGGCGGCCTACAGAGGCGTACAACTTGCCACAACCTTCACACAATGGCCGCTTGGCTTGCTTGCTCACCAAATACGCTTGCGTACGGTATCCATGGACACGCTGGGCATGACACGACCAAGCAACTCGACTGCTGAACAGTTTTTTTGCAAGGAATGCAAACCTCAGTCCATACCTGAGCAGGCTCTCGGGGCTCCGTCGGCATCCCTGCAATGCCACGAAGAACCTTATAAAGCCCTTCCAGCACTGCGACAACCTGACATCGCCGTACTTCAAGCATCTGTGCTCTAAGAACCCAACCTTTAAATTTATTTCGCTGCGAAGTCATAATGTCTAGCCAGGCTGACCAATGGCGATCTGGGTCCGGCAGGGGGCAAGTCTGATGGACCCATCGGAAAAGCCATCTAGTTGACGATGCCATGGATTCTGAGTAAGGGCGGTCGAGACGCAGCAATGTCCACAGCTCTCCTGGGCCAGTACGGGCTAGCTGGCTGAGGTATAGAGCATGCGCTGCGTATGCAAAATGACAGCTGGTCCAGGCATCTCCAGCAGGGCTAGAATGGTCGCGGCTGAAACATGCTGATCAGCATGGTGCGGGATGCAGAGAACCTGCCTATACATCGACCAGAGAGCCCCAGCGAAAACCCGATATTCTCCTTCCCCTAGCGGAGGCCAGGCGCCACATCCATACGTCAACTTTGGGAGTACCATCGCGCGGAAAATGAATGACTTCCTCCGTAAGGGGATTCCCGGGGCCTTGAACACTTTGCGTCTGCTTTCACCAAATGCAGCGTGAGCTTGTGCAGCGCGAAAGGCTACCTCCTGACGCATTCTGCCCTTGATCGCAACTTGGGCTCCCAAATGTCGGTAGTCACTGACAAGCGGCACTTTCGCAGGAGCAGCATGCTCCCGCATGGCAATAATTTCGCCATGCATACCTTGCGCCCCAAACAACAGCCGTCTTGTGGGCTTAGCACCTCCTCCCGCAGGTTGCGCCAGGACCGCGGTCTTACTGCGGCCGAAAGATAATCGGAAGCCGTGTTCTGCGAAAGAGTCGCAGCTCGTACTCACAGAGGTTTTGATGCCTTGTGGCAGTGCTGCCGCGGAGTCCGCCACTTTCATCGTGGCGATGTCGTCCGCCCAAATAAGATCCTCAAGAGCTTTTAGGGGCTTACTGTGGTCGCACGGCTGCAACGTACGCGCCGTGTCGTCCGGAATCATGGGGGCGTGTACTGCTCCGGTCGCGTGGCCCTGCAGAGCATCTCTCCGTCTCAAAATCCGTCGCACGACGAAGGAAAAAAGCAAGTCCGCCCATGATGACCGAGGGCGGGTTCCTCTTGTTGTGATCACAGGCACCTCGTCATTTTGTAAAACAAACCACGTGGAGTCGGTCAGTCTCTGCGCTAGGGATTCTAGCCAGCCGTTCGCGCCGGCTTCCTGAAGCGCTGAGGCATTCTCAGAATGCTGTGCCAATAGCTCAAGGTCCTCCAGTGGCAGGTCCATTCCTCGGAGCCAGTCCTCAGCAGCTCTGCCCGAATCGGGCTTCGCCACCAGTTGTCGCACCACTGAATAATACGCCGAAGCTATGTCGGTGAACAGGATGAAACTAGAGCTGTGACAACTGGCCTGCCATCGCAGGAAGCTTCTGGTCACATGAGCACCATACACTACACTACTGCCTGGCCTCCCACCGAGTTGAAGGGATGGAGCCTGCTGCACGAAAAGATCCCTGAGCGCTGGACGTAGAGCTTGATGAATGCATTTGGCCAGGCTTGATACCAGAAGGATTTGCCTATATGCAGCAACGTCGCTCTTGGATCCTTTGCCCTTCCAGAACTTCACGGCTACGCCACCTTTAAAGCCCAGGCTTTCAGAGCCCCGTAGCACAAGCTGTAAAAGTATGGGGTACAAGGCCGGCACCAAACATGAAGCAAACTTTTTGAGCAGAATGCCGGGGATACCATCTGGTCCCGGCGCTTTGCCGGCTTTAGTTGCCAGCATGACTTGTGTTAAGTCGGCTAAGCTCGGCACCATAGCAGTATTAGGGGGCACAGGCCAAGCTGCTGACTGCCTTTCTGCTTGCAACAAGGCTTCTGGCAAGCAGCCAAAATCCGAATCTTTACCCCCTTCCATTTGACCAAAGTGGTGTCGCCACCTGGCCTGCATCTCTTGAGCATCGGCGCAAGGCTCATTATGCTCATTCAAGACATAGGGCAGGGGTTCCGGGGCATAAGGTCGCTTACGTCTATGACACAGCAACTTATGCAGGGCACCGAAAACCTCATTGCTCGGATTATGGGCAACCTTATCGGCCAAATCGGATATATATGCATCTCTGTCTCGCCGACATTGGTAGCGGAGTTTTCGCGATTCACGTGATATGTGGTATCGGTGTGCGAGTTCGCGAAGAGATGCCCTGAAGAACCAGGAACACTGCGAAGGATGTGCCGCGTAGACACCTTTTACTGCAGATTTCCATACGTCAAAAAGGGCCGCACGCAGCTGTGTACGTGCATGTTGCTGCAGTCGCTGTAACGAGCGACGCCACCAGGTTACCACCCGTTGGACTTGCTAGGTTTCTTCGGTGATGTAAGGATGGCGGGGACGTGGCCCTGTATTAGTAACAATGGCCCCCAAATGCTTTTGCAGATGCCCCGCAACAATAGCTGAGTGTGCGTGAGAGGAGACCTCCCAGGGCACCTGGGGCAACGAGGTCAGAGCAGCCTCAATCGCCTCAGCATTGCGGGGATCCTGCAGAGCTTCAGGCGAGAGTCGGGCGCGCGCAAGCTTTTTGCCCGGCTCGGGTGGATAGGGAGACACAGGTAGCAAAGTGGTCCTGTGTTGCTAGGGCCACATGAATATCAGGGGCAACCCAGGCCCGGACATTGCCCTGTTGCCAGACCCTGGGCAGCCCTATCATATCTGGCCTGCACCCTTGCCCATTGCTTTTGAAAGTATGTGTGGGTATCGCCCACTTGGTATTCCTCGAAGGTGCATGGCAGCCAGCATTCGAGGGATCGTAGGATGGAATGCCAATGTTGGCCCGGCAAATCCTCCTGTTCCGCAGCAATGGGACCTACAGAAGGTGAGATAAAACTTCCCACCGATGCATTTACATCCCCTGCAACAATGACAAAGGCCGCATTTGCAAACTTGTGTAGAAGATGCTTGGTGTCCTTCCACCAAGTGGAAATGATGTGTGCTTCGCTTCCACGGTGTGGCGCATGCAAGGACGCGATCAGGAGCCGCCATGATCTAACCTGAAACCGTATGACTACGCGTCGCGGATCGCGATGCACCACCACAACCTGCGCATCATTGAAGAAAATGCTCTCAGAAGGCGACGCTCCATACAGCAAGGGTCTCTCAGTATGCAGCCACAATTCGGTGCCGTACTGGCCGTGAACCGCCCCCGAGCTGTAGCGCAAAAATTTGCCTATCCTGGTCCGGCCCTCCTGTCCTCTGGTCTCCTGGAGCGCCGCTATCGTCGCTCCCTTGGCGTGTAACTGCT